CCCCATACTGATGCTCGGTTTGAACTGCAGGAGATTGTCTTGACCATGTCTACATGCCAAAATGCACTGAGTTGCCTCCATGTGATTGGCTGCTTAGAAATTAAGTGTTAACGAGCAGTTGGACAGGTGTACCTAATAAAGTGGCCGGTGAGTGTAGAATGCAGCAAGTTTTGTTCATTTCTGTCTATTGTAATCCATCTCGTACAACAAGTTGCAGGGTCTGTGCAAAGGTCCGTAGAGGCTGTTACCAGCAACTGCTCCAGATGGATGCTACATCATCCTGTGATTCCTCCCATAAGTTACCCTTTTTCCAGATCATCGTCACCATCTTCCTCATCCATCACAGCTGAGGGGAAACAAACTGTGAAAGCTTTCTTCATATTATCTGAGATGATGGAGTCTTATTTGTGTTTTGCGTTAAAGTTGTTACATTTCTCTTCAAACTTTTCCCTTATTGGCTCTCCAGTGTGTGACCCACAGCTTAAGAGGACTGACTGCAGCCTTGGACCGTTTTTCCTCATCTTCCATGAAGTGGGATGTTACAGCTGAACAGCCGCGTATGGTCCTGTCTGTCCAGATATCCAGTCCCATAAACAGTGTCTGTCTTTAACTTTTAATTGGACACTATTTCTGCAGCAAGACGTTTGGTTACTGTGCTGCACTGGGCTGTACACAGCTTTCTTTGTCTGGTTTTACAGTTAGACAGTCTAGTAGGTCCAGTCGCTGCAATTTACTGCTTAACTTGTGTTTTATACTTTAACATTTTTACCTTTACACAGTAATGACTGGCGACGTTAAAATGCAGAGGTTAGGGTCATTATTTGGGTTATTTTGGGCTGTAGACCAATGACTGGTCCCCACAAGTACAAGATTTTTTCTCCATCTCATTGTGGCCCAACTCTTCCTTCCCACAGTCCTCTCCCATAGTTCACTTGGGAACATCTTTAGCATCATTATCTTCATTCTGACAGATCTTCAGTGTTTGATAGCATCACATAGTTGCCGCAGATTTGTCGGCTGCACATCCATGATGCGAATCTCCCGTTCCACCACATCCCAAAGATGCTCTATT